ATTGAGGGCGTTCACGTCAGTCACATTTTTAAAATTTTATTTTGTATTTGGAATAATTTGATTAGCGATATTTTGTACTTAGAAAATGAATGAATGAAAAAAAAATACTATAAAGTTATTATTGTTGTGGTAACACTGTGGAGTATTGATGTAGTGATAGTATTACGGTAGTGATATGGACTTAGTCATTTTTTTCTTGATTCTCCAGACCCAAGTCATACTTCAACCCAAGTGTTACCTATTTTTAACTAGAATTAAGGATGGTACGATACAAAAACCGGTAATTATTAAAATAATTATCAACAATGTGAAATAAACAACTTTTGAAATGTTAAAACAATGTTAAAGCTTTTCAGCTATTAATTTTTAAGTTTTCTATAAAAACAATTTTTTTGTTAATTTGCAATAATCTTCAAATTAAAGACTACGAGTCTCTAAAATCAAATAAAATATAATAAGAAATTTGTTTTAAATTTGTCTAGTTCTATTTTTTAAAGTTATTTATGAATTATGATTATTATACTAATTAAACACATATTGAACACTTTAATCCGGCCCTTGGCCGAACGTTTACATTAGTTTGTTCAATAGTAATAATTATGTTCAGGCTCTAATCAAAACATATCTTATTAAGTATAACCTACTTAATCATAATATAAATATATAATATATATTTTCCTTATGTAGTACCTATTTTTTTTTCGTATAACTTATACCTCATTTTTAGTTACATGGTTGTTCAATTAAAAACTTTGGAGAACGACAATTTAGATTTCAAAATTTCTGATAGAGAATTACAAGTAACAGTATTAAACATGATTAAATCATTACATGGAGATTTTGGAGCTGGAGCTATTAAAACATGTTTTAAAGGTAAAATAATTTGTTTAATTTCCTATAGAAATAATAATTAAAATTAGAATAAACAAAATAAATTATGGTATTTAAATTTTTTTAAGCATCGGTTTAAATTTGTAAAAAAATTAACCAACAGCAAATAGGTAAACCCAAACTTCTTGCTGTTATACCTACATTGATTCAATGTTGAATAATGATGATAAAATAATAAAATATGAAAATGTAAAAAATATAAAAAAATAAAAAATGATAATAAACAAGACTGGGTAGAACCAGCAAGTTTAAACTTAATTGTGTTAACCCTTTTTGACGGATGTTAGGGTATTAAAGGTTCTAAAACTTGATTGGCAGGTACTTAGTACTTATCCTAATTGCCCTGTTCTTTGTTATAATTTCCAAAGCAAAAAATATTTATTTCAAATTAATGATATGTGATCTGATTACCTTAATTCATTGATAATATTATAACATCTATTAGGAAATTCTATCAAATAATTTGTACTTGCATACAACACTTTCTTTAAACATAATGTCCATGTTTAATTTTTTTGAATATCATGTAAGTAACTGCTCTCCTGGCAATTAGATTATATTTTCTTGATATCACAATTACTAATTAATATTCATGACAGTCATTGTACATCTCTTTAGAACTTCTATCAATATGTCTTGTACTTTAATATTGTTGAATAAGTTGTAGATGTGATAAAGTTATTGAATTTTTGATTGGTAACTGTTAATCAATTATTTATTTTATAATAATAATTTTATTTTTAATCTATTTCAGTTCGCTATTGCAATCCAATGACAAAAATTATTATTTTTAAAACTAGACATGGTCCTCATCAATTTCTCTCTTCTGTTATACCATTTATTAATAAACTTCAAGATAAAAAAATTCAACTATCATCTCTTTATACGGGCGCTTCTATGTTTCAATGTTACAAATTTATTCAGGTAATTTAACTATACCATAATTTAGTATTATTTGATATAAATTTTAACATTTAAAATATATTTGAGMATTACTCAATTGGTTTTAATTTAAAAATGTACCACAGTAATAACTACTTTATTCATTTTATACCACAAAAATATTTGATTTGTTCCTATATCACATAAGTTTTTATTTTTAAAAACCTGCAATATTATGCATAATTAATATTAAAATATACTGTGGTATATAATATGTATACAATTTTTAATACAATTTTCAATTTCTTATTTTAGTAAATTTTTATGCAATAGCACACTAAAAATTGTATTATATTCATTATTTAATTATTTATAAATAAATGTAACTTAGATTTTATCAAAGTTAGTCGTTATTTATTAATTTTATATCTAAAAATTAACTTTAACTTTTTAACTTGTTTATAACCAGGCTTTTAATTTAATGACACTAGGATTTGTTATATGTTTTTATCAAAATGTGGAATAACACACCAAAAATGTGGAATGACACACCAAAAAGTATGAGGAATAATTTTAAAACATGAAACATTACATTTACATATTAATAAAAGCAATATATATGAAGATGTTAGCATCTTAAAGTTTTTCTTTTATAACATAACATAATTATAATGAAATAAAAGTTTATTAAAAATCAGCTATCTTGAAACTAGGATAGCTGTTTTATTTAACTATTTTTAAAAAACTGATGCTCTCATAAATTGTCTCCTAAAACATGCTTAAAAATCTCTTTACCCTATGAAATTATCAATTTCTGGATTAAGTACTGCTATATTCTCCATGACATTTATGTTTTAAACAAATTACTATCTTTAACAAGGATTTTTGAAGACTGTATTAATTCAATTTCTGTGCTATTGCTATAGTAATAAATAAAAACTAATTAATTTTGAATTTGTTTCAGAKCTATCAAAAAGATCTTGTAAGAAAAATAACTGATACAATAAGTGAAAAAACCAAAGAAAAAATGTTAAATATCACTAATGTATTAAATTTTTGATTTATCAAAAGATAGGTTTTCAAATTTTTATAAGAAAACATTGGAAGGCCAATTTGTAAATAATAGTTTTACATCAAATACATTACATATTGACAAAGTATAAATATATATTATAATATGCTGAGCCACTAAAAAAATATCAACTTTGATGAAAACTAACTGTTATTTAAATAAACAATGTTTTTTACATGTAAAATACTCATGTGTTACATAAATAGGTATTCACAAATTACCACCATCATTTTTTAATAATACCAAGTTGTTAGACTTTGAATCTGATAACTTGATAATACAATTAATAACATTTTATATTATTAATATTAATAACTAACATTAAGTCTTAGAATATAGATTTTTTCTTTAATTAAAATGAGTTGAAAATATCAATTACATCAATAGATTTACGCAATTTGAATTGGGGGGGGGGAAGGGCTTCATTTAAGAGAATTCCATGTTATATTAAGCGTTTTCTAACCAGTGCTTATAAAGGTAAATTATTTGATGATATTACAGGTAGTGCTGCCCGTGCTTACAATTTACAGAATTGATSTAAATAAACTAGAATAGAGTGTACAATAATTATTGTATCTATTTGTTCAATATTTCTATAAAAACTAAATTTGTTAGAAAACATAAATAACAATACCTACATATTATTATGAGACAATAGACAGTTTAACAGTTATATTATCAAAAATAAGATGTTGCAAGTAATGGGTGCGCARTAAATTCAACAAAAAAGCTATAAATAAATGCATGAATTAAAAAAATATGTACTTAGGTATACAGGTTTAAAATTAAAAATTTAGGTTTGCATAAAATATTGTTGATAAATCAAACAATCAATTTTGGTGCACAATTGAGCATTTTTAGAAAAATTGGTGAATACATTATATCCAAATATTAATCAGTATATCAATTTACTATTCTTGGCCATTAAAATATTTTCTTGTAGGTAATTGAAAATGAATAATGCATAATTTAGAGTTTCAAACCGTGTTTTAAGTATTTTTATTAGTTAATACTCGACAGTGACAAAAACATTAAGTACACACAAGTTAAAGTTGGTACAAGTTAAATATTATAACTACACTTAAAAGTAAAAATAAAATATTTTGTACTACATTTTATCCTATACACTTATATATACTTATTTTTAAATACATATTAAGAATCATATAAGTAAATTTTTTTGTTTTTCATTTAAAATATAATTCCTTTCTCAATAATTAATTTCCATAAAATATTATAAAATACTCACACAAAATTAATATACTGATCATATAATTACTACTAAATTATTACAGCTCTATTTATTAGAAAAAATATAAATTTGTTCAAATGAATGTTTATACACTTAGGTATATATTATTATAGTAAAAGTAAATACATATTTAACAAGATAAAATGTTGACTTGATCTTGATACGCTTTACAAAATTAAATTTGTACATAAAAACTATCTAAAATACAATTTTTGAGATAAATAATAATAAAAATATCATCAGGCATAATAAATCAATAAAATAAGATATATTATAAGAATAATAACATTATATTAACATAATATTACATATGAGAAAAAACTAAAATTAGAATCCAAGAAAAGACAGATTGATGTATAAAAAAAGGTTAATATTTATATAGGAACTTAAAATCCTAACTTTGAAAGAAAAAAAAATCACACAATCAAACATTAACATACTACACAAGATAATATTACTGTAGAGATCAATTAATGGGCCAATTCAAATAATTTTATTAGCAGTTTGAGTATTAAAAAATATATTTGGTGATGTCTGGCAACAATTTTTATTTATATATTACTAGGTAATAAATTTAATATTCTATTAGGCTGTTAACATTTATAATTATTTAACATACACTTTACTTAATATAATTATGAAAAGCATATTTAAAAATCAACATTTATTTAACAATTATAATGTTGGGATATCAATTTCTAATAATCAGAACCTATCTAGTAGATACTTAAAACATAATACTAAGTTCATTAAAATATATATGAAATTAAATCACTAGAAATGTTATACAAAAAATTCAATGAGAAAAAAAGATACAACTATTTTATGGGTACTAGAATACGTGATATATTTAAATTATGTATAATATTTAATAATATAATATATATATATATATATTTTATTAGATTTTAAAATACTTAATCGTCTTTAATATTTAGGGCAAACAATCAATTTCTAAACTAAAGAGACTTAAATAAACATAACTATGAGATGCAAAAATATAGTTTTTTAACATATTTTATATTAAACCAAGTTTGATATTTGTTTCTTTATTTTCATATTTCAGTTATATTTGTCAATAACAACTTAAATTGTTTTCAGCCATAAAAACATTAATGTAAATAGATTCAATCATCATATGCTTGTTCAGCCTTAGCTTTAACTTTTCGTAATAGGGGTGGAAATTCATCAAGAGTGTACCTATATTTGAACACGTGCATTTGTGCAGGACAATCACAAAGTTGTTTAAAATGGCGAAGACAAGCCAATCTTTTTGGATCACATGAACAGGATACAGCAGATACATATAGAGTTGTATTACAGACCATACATTGTCTAAGGTCATCTACTTGGTGTTCAAATTCGACAAAATCTGCTTCAGTAACACCCCAATCTAAAAGTGCTTTGCGTTGAACTCTTTCAAACTTCACCATTTCATTCAAATCATCATATACAAGTTCAGCGGCTTTTGGTGCTAAGTCATCACAAGAGTTTACCATTTTACATATAAGTTCATCATGGGAAAATACACATATTCGTTTAAGTGAGGAATAATGATTAACACATTCGCGACCTATTGAAATCCAATCAGCAGGAGCAAAATTCACAGCTTCAGCAAAGTTATATCCTTGATTAAATCCAGTATGGTAAGATCTTGGAAAAGTAACGACAAATTCTCCAGCATTTTGATCAGTTCGATAAATTGGAACATTTGCTTTCATCAGTATATTTGGATTCAGAATAGTAACCAACTGATGTAAGAGATCTGGCTGAGAATGAAATAATTCTGGTGTTGTTTCTTTCATTACTTCTTCAAAAGCTTCAGCAGAAGCTCCTGGTACTCCATACCATGTTTTTGGTTCACCCCAATGTAAATAGTTGATCGAATAGCTCCAATGATCTTCGTTATGCCAACAAAATGTAGAAAAACACATACCAACATACATCCATGGAATTTTCATACCAGATATATCAGCATTAATAAAACTAAGAACAGAATCTTTAAGAATAGGTATATTATTTAAATTCCAATGATCTTCTATGTACGACTTGTAAAAAGTATTATCTTCATTTCCACAAAGTGCTAGACCTGTAGGAAATCCTGATCCATGATCCATAGTGTGTAAATCAGCACCATATTCTGCTATTACTGTGGAATCAATAGATGAAACGATTTTCCAATACTCCTGTTCAACTTTACTTGTAGGCACAAGATGAACTGGCATATTAAAATATTTAGATTTAAATTGGTCTGCCATTTCTCCAAATTGTTGAAGTGTGTACTCACGCTGAGCTTGTTCAAATCCAAAAGCATCACTAGGTTTGATCACTTCATTGATCACACATTTATGACATCTCCATTCTCCTTTGGGAACAGTAGTTAATGGTATAATTAAACATTGCATGTGGAAACTTAAATCACATCCATCACAAATTAAAATAGTTTCCTCAGATTTACCACTTCCACATTTTTGACAATAATATTTATCCAAATAATCAACGGTAGGTTTACTTCTTTTTTTAGACTTTTTTGACTCTTTTGACTTTAAATGTCCTATTCTACATTTGGAACTAAATCCTGCCATCTTGGGACCAGCACCAAAAAATTGTAATTTCCTTAATTCTTTATTTTCCATTAGATAAAAGGGATCCTTTATATAATCATCAGATTCATTTTCATCATCTGGGCTGAGTCTAGCTCGTTTAGTAGGTGAATTTGAAACAGAAGAACTTTCTACTTTAATATCTGCAACTTTACTCTCTCTTTTTATTGGTTTGTTATAAATTTCATCTTTAATAGTGGCATGAAAAAGTGAAAATGGATTAAGCCACCTCTCGTGATGACTTTTTAAAACTGTACCAGAAGATTTTTCACAAACATAACCCATACGACTTGCCACTTTTCCCCATTTTTTCGCCAAACATACTTCATCAAAACCTCCTTCAAATTCTACAATTTTATAAAGAGAATATAAATCTACAGCTCTTTGTTCTAATACTGGTATTTTAATACGAATCCCTTGTAAATGCCAATACTTAGCAATTTTTTCCAAGAAATTGAGCTTAACTCTAGTACTCGCATCGAGTTCATTTAGTTTTTGAATCCTAGGTGTAAATTTAAAGTTATCAACATCAACACAAAATGGAGGATGCCAATTAGATGGAGGTCTTATTTTACAAATACCATGTTCTTGAGCTACACTTCTAATTTTAGCAATATATTTTAATGGATCTTTAAATTCTTCTGCAGTAGGCTCAAAAACAGGAGCTTCAGGTGGAACCTTAAAAACGAATTTGCCCTTTTCCATAAGACTAACAGGATCAATAAATTTTCCTTCAGGACATTCTTTTTGTTTTGGTTCATCAATTTCAAGTTTACACTTAACATCTCTTTTAACACTCATTTTAATATTATACTATAATATATAAATAATATATATTATATACGAATATATAAAAAAACAATTATAATTACTTACTTAAACCGAGATAAAAACACTTTCAATAAAAATTTATAACAACTTGATTGAAAAAAGTATCGAATCTAAAACATAATTATCGAACGTTAAAAATTGAAAATGTTCGTTGCATTGTCAAGAGCTAAGGATTGAGTTTTGAATGCCGGACGTCCATCTCACATTTCTAAAATGTCACGTAGTCCACACTACACACCGCCACTACCACCAACGCTACGGGTGATCCGTATCCGTTTAATGATTTTCAAAAAGGAGAGAAAAGATATCTTCGATTTGCCTCGTGTTAATCTTCCGATCTGTCGTCGTTGCTCTGTTGCGTCAAACCAGACAAAAATGAGATGAGTAACAATTTTGTAGGTGTACGCACGGAAATAATTTAAAACTAATTTTATAGCCTTTTGTTTAAAAGTAGCAATTTCACTATGGAACTATGGAAGATAGAATGCAGCCAACATACACATTGCAGTCATTGCACACAGAAACACACAAATACAGGCTCACGCACACATACACACGAGACTTCGACACAGACACGGAGGTGATGAGGCTCGCAGTATGGAAAATAATATATTACATAGCTGCTCGCACCACTACCAACTACGGGATATACGCACGCACGCACTCGCAATAATATCGACACAATTAAAATACTACCTACCTATAATACAGAAATACAGAATATGAGTATAGTACTATAGTAGAACGCCTGAACGCGTACACGGACAAACGATGTGACACACTTATAATAATATTAATATTTATAATAAACATACCACCATGATTGTCATCGACAAGAAATGTTTTACAGACACTKATCATTTAGATCTACGATGTATTTCAATGTATGTTCTAGTCAATCCAGTATTCCAGACTCATCTGGCCGATCGGCGTCCCTTGTAGCCATTTTGGCTTGTTAGCCGTTGGCAAAAATGGAAATAATACGCTTCAATGAATTGTGCCGACTATGTAAATGATTACTGGTAATGAGCGTGAGTGGTCACCCGGTAAATACGTTTACGATTTGCGATCCACTTTTCGTAAAACTAGGTAATACGGACGTCTGCACGATGGGAACATGGATATCACCGAAATATAATACGTCTACCTATGAATAAATGACAATTTATATATCTATATCCGATTCGTCAACAATTACATCAGTGTCTGATCGTTTTGCCTTTTCGGTCATAAATTTTTATTGTGATTTCAGATTTTCGACGACTGATGAGAGACGAGAGTAAACATAGTAAATACCTTTTACCAACGATATTGTTTTATAATTTCTCATCGCTCGACTACACTTCGCCAGTGGTTTTTTTTACACATACATCCAAAAAGTAGAGAAGATACTTTCTCTACCAAGCTAAGTGAACGTCCTGTCACAGTTGATTATTAATTTTACTAAAATAGTCCAACGACCCCTTGCGGTTCTCAAATACAATCGTACGAATAATAAATTTGTCATTTATCACATCAACGAACAACGGTAAAATTGTACAATACTACCCTACCTTAATAGTAAATTGATATTTAGTAACTAATAAGAATTAATAAATCTAATAACTGTAAAATTATGAATGATCAACGTTATGTTTCTAAAATTGCGGTTATCAATACTCCAAGACCAGAAATGCTATTAATATTAAAGAATTCCCACTAGAATTTTAAAATAGAAATTGTATTGTGAATTATACATAACTGCAGCAAATTATTGTAAAACGATACGAAACTYCCATGAAATATTGTAATCTGTTTTCAAAAAGAATAAAAATTATACTTATTGCTAAATGGTAGTCTATAAAATATTTCAWTTGGAAATATATAAATAAAAAATAGCAAGTGTAGAAACATACATATTAGTTTAAAAAAAAATTAAATTTCACAATACAATACATACATGAAATATAAATGGTGATTGTTATCAATAAAACTTTCGAAAGTCAAAGTAACAAAACGTGATAAATGATTCTTAACCATGTACAACTCAATAAAACACAATATGAAAGGTAGTATATTAATTTTAATGAATAAAATTAAGAATTATTTAACACAATACTATGTAACATATATAAATCTTTATAAAAAAAATACAATTTTTAAAGCATTCAAACTGTTTATTAGATATTAAAACTTTTATACTTGTTGATTCGTTTTAAATTATAACTATACATTTATTCGTCACTAAACGAGTAGAACTTTAAATAAATGCAAATGAAAGTAATATGTAGTGAAATATTTTCTGACAATACACTTTTATTAATATTATTATTAATATCTGCTAGGAATGACCTACCTAACCTAACCATACTCATACATACTATAAATTAATTCAAAAGTACCTGAAAAAATATATCTTCCAAGTATCTACTACCCAATGTCCTGTTGAACTATTATCATGATAGTTGATGTTGATACTTATTTTCTAGTTATTTTATTAATTTAATTCATAAAATCTTCTCGTTTTCTGACATCTCGTTACATAATCTGTGGATTGTGATAATAGATAATGTATAGAACAGCTGTTTTCATTAAAACCGTGCATCAGCAAAACGTATTCTGACAACAATATGTATATTTAAAATACACATAGTTTTGTTTATTGGTATATTTCAAAAAAAAAGGAATGATCTTAATTCGTAAAAATKTTAGTAGTTTTTTTCATTTTAAACTGTTTAAAATAAAATACTAAAATATTGAATGTAAATAGATTTTTACCATACTGAGTACTCGTTTAGTCATTTGTCCAATTTTGAATAACCTGAAAATTATCAGTAGCCATCTTGAACAAAGCGTTTACACACAAACACAAACAGTGGTAGTGGTGAAATTTGTATGATAAAAATTGTAATTTTTTTATTAATTTTTTAGTCCCAAATTGTGACAAATTTTTATATTGTAWTTAGTTTAAATAATGTTATGTTGATATTCGTCTTTGAAATGTTTCCTTAGTTATGGCTGCTTCTAGAAAACTTCAAGGTAAATATCACTAGTGCACATTCTATTATTGTTGACTTAWATACTCAAAAACTGTTAAAAGAACATATTTTGTAGGGGTATTACCTGTGGACAATATTTTGTTTGTGAGGAATTTATAATATATCTGCTTTCTCAAATACAAATATTAAAGTTTATAACGTTAACTATTATAACAAAATACATGTATGTTAGTCAAATGACTACATGTTTTTAATAGAAAATGTGTTTATTTTATCAGCTATAAATGTGAATCATTAAATCATAACTTTGGTTATTCATTTTATATTAATAAACTTTATTTTTTTTTCTTAGATTTTTATTAATTAAGAGCAATAATCCCATAACTTGTGTGTAATTTTTAGGTGAAATCGATCGGTGCCTTAAGAAAGTTACCGAAGGTGTTGAAACATTTGAGGATATTTGGCTAAAAGTTCACAATGCTACAAATAGTAATCAAAAAGAAAAATATGAGGCTGACCTCAAAAAGGAAATCAAGAAATTGCAAAGGTTACGCGATCAGATCAAAAGCTGGATTGCGTCCGCGGAAATTAAGGATAAAAGTGCATTACTTGATTACCGCAAACTTATAGAAACTGTTAGTAGATATAGACATATAATTTAGTTTATTTAAATACTGAACTAATTTTGCTTTATTTGCAGCAAATGGAAAGATTTAAAGTAGTCGAACGAGAAACAAAGACTAAAGCTTATTCTAAAGAAGGGTTGGGTGCTGCCCAAAAACTAGATCCCGCTCAAAAAGAAAGAGAAGAAACAAGTGCATGGTTAACACAATCAATTGAGTCGCTCAATATTCAAGTAATTAATTATTTTAATGAATTAAAAACTCAGGTTAGATTTATAATCAGGTGCTTTTTGAATCTCATTATTATTACTAATATGATATTATTATTATAATTTCCTATTTAATAAAGTGAATATCAGTGCACCATCTCTTGTTTTCTCTTTAGCTCACTTGCTACATACCAAATTTATGTTTAGCAGAACTAATATTTTGTTTTTAATTTAAATATTAGAGTAAATTCACCTTTATCAAACTTTATTCGGAGAATTTTACTTATGTTGACTTTTTTACACTGTTTTAACTTTAAATACTATATCATATCATACATAAAAATTTAAATATCATAAAATATCTAACTTAACAATCCAGATAGTGTACTTACTTATAGTTTGATAATAAGTGAATTCATTCTAATATTTAAATGAACTAGTACAATGTTGGTTCTGATAAATGTTTATTTGCTAAGTAGTGCATGGGTAAGAGAGAAAATAAATAGTGTACATCATCTTAATAATTTTAAATTCATATTTTTGTAACTAATTTAAAAATGTTAAATGATAGATTGACCAATATGAGTGTGAAATGGAGTCATTACTTGTTGGGAAGAAAAAAAGGTTGGACAAAGATAAACAAGAAAAGCTAGATGAACTAAAAGCAAGAGTAGTACGACATAGGTTTCATATACGAAAATTAGAGACTGTACTAAGAATGTTAGATAATATGTCAGTGGAAGTCAAAAAGGTATCATCCAAARCTATTGATTATAGTATAATTCTATGTACAAATTATTTAAAGAGTTAATTTGTAGATACGATCGATAAAAGATGATGTGGAGTATTATATTGAAGCATCACACGAAGAAGATTTTATGCATAACAATGATTTGTATGATGAAATAATTGGGTTAGCTGAACTTGAATTAGGTGTTGCTGCAAATAATTCCGCAGAAGCCAATGGTAACAATTATAGTAACTGTAAAAAAGATAATAATACTTTTAAGAAGTTTTAATATAACAATAATTTTTAATTATAAAACTCATCAAAGAAATAATATTTCTGTTCAAAATTAATTTATGATTATAGATATTATTGTATTTTTATTTATCATTGAACTACACTTATAGGATCACCCACTAGCCAAACCGCAAGTCTTAGTGGTTCTTGTCCAGCATCTCCTGCTCCAATGTCACAAAATCATTCCATTGAAGAACCAGTTTCAGTAGCTGTAATTACAACATCTACACCAGTATCAATAACAACTATCGCTACAATTAGTGAATCAATTCCAATGATCTCTACAGTATCTACAGTTGTAACTATTGCTACTTCAGCTTCTATTGTTGCAGCACCAGTTCGTAAAAAAAAAGAAGAAACTACTAAAGTTTGTACAATATAATATTATTTTAGAAAATATTAATTTACCATCAGTATAAAATGTATATTCAATTTAGAATGCAATTAAACCTACACCTGTGAAAGCAAATCCTTCAAATAATTCTAATTCTACGGTGAACAATAAAGGCCCAACTATAGCTGCAGTTGTTAAATCATCAATTAGTAATCATACTACCACAACATCTAGTGTGTCTACTGTGTCTCAATCTATAACTACTCAAACAAGTACTACTACGGTTGGTAATTTTGCAACTGTAGCAGCTTCAAATATTCACAATAAACATACACGTAAGTCTTTTTAGTATAAATATAAAAAGCAAAATTTATGAATCAAATTATTTTGAAATTTACTTCCTAAAATATAAAATTTTAAATTTATTTTTTATACTATTGAATAACAGTATTTTATCAAATTAGATTTTATCGGAATAATATACTAATATAAATTCTAAGTTTATTTTTCTTTACCTACTAAATAATGATTTTCTTCATTATACTTTTATAATATATTCAAATATTTTATTTAATTAATTATAAATAATTAGAATATTTATTTTAAACAATTATTAAAATACATGTGTTACTCTCAATATTAAAGATGATTATTTTTATTTGCTATTATTTTAAAAGTATTTTCAAATTATATATTTTGACTTTTGATTTGTTGTTTTTTACATAGAAGSACAATCTGTTGAAAATACGTCTGTTGTTACATCTATACCAACTTCTCCATCATCTTACCATACTAATGCGCCAACTACACAAGGAACTGTGAATAATTCTGATAGTGTGGTTAATTGTGTGTCTACTACACCTTCGTCATTAAGTTCTACTACATCACCAGTACAAGCGGATTCTAACACAGCCCTATCATCATTAAAGACTATTGCCCAAAAAGCTATTGATCAAGCTGGGATTGATATATCACAACAGTCTACTGAATCTAAAAGTAACTAAACATTTTTAGAAGTCGTATATATATATATATTTAATAATCAGAAAAACTCTTCCTAATACCTATTATACCTTCAATAGTATAACTGTTAGAATTAAATTAAATTAATTTCATTTTTTTTTTTTTTTACTCAACCACATTACTATCATATCATAAAATGTTATCTTAACATTATATACTTGTTTTTAACTGTCTTCAGTGAATCTAATTATTATTCATAACTAATGTTATTATGTTAACTATTTGTGACTCTTATTTGCAAGTCTGGATTTTTGTATGTAAAAAAAAAATCTGAATTTAAGTATCTATGGCAGATTATAAACGGTGAATATATTTTAATATAAGTGTATCTCGGTTAGACTACAATTCAGTTAGGTGTATTTGCTTGTGTTCAAATCAGATCTAGAGAAAATATGTAGTTGTAGATTAGATAATGTTTTCTAGTGATTAGCTGGTTTTTTTTTCGTAAAACCAAAAACACTTATTATTTTGAAACTTAAACATGTAAAAGTAAACTGTAATTTATCATAAAAATAACTTCATACATTATTTTTCATGTTATATTACTCTTTAACAAATTTTTGTATAATTCAAATAGAAAATACAAATTAGTAAAAATACTTTCAAAATAAGCC